CATTTGCTCAGGATTGATGAAAGATTTGTTCACTGTCAGTCATCTATTTAAACAATACTGTGTAAAGTGTGCACTTTCCCAAATAAATTATTATTGTTTTATATGTTCATAAGTTTGTTGACGATAATTTGGAGCTTTAAGTGTTGTACCTATAACTACTAAGTTCCTCAAATGGCTTGTAAGTAAGGGAAGTGAATAATCATAAATAATTTTTATTAGGCAAATACAAAGTAAAAATCTGGTATTTTGAAAATTCTTTAAGTAGCCTAAATTTAAAGTAAAACAACATAACAAGTAGAATAAAATAAATTTATTTTGTAAGATAGATTATTTGATAGTCATAACTTTATCTTGCAAAGTTTTAAAACCATTAGAGAATAAATAAGGATGCTTGAAATGTTGAAAAAAAAACTTGGTAATTTAAACCAGTATTTCTTGTTACATTTGCACTGCAGGAACATATTGATTTTATTTTTCATGTTTTATTAACATTTCCTGCATATATAACAAAGAATTCTGTGAAAATATGATATATGAATTTAATACGCATACATTTTACAATACTGGCTGGAATAAACTATTAAACATGTTTCCTGAGAAATCAATAAAGTAAACAGCTTGTATGTATTAACTTTATTCCTTTCTAGGACTTGTCTTAGTTGCCTGTGACTACATCTAGACTTCTGATTTCACTTTCCAATGCTTCCTACAATGTACACATAGTAGAGCTAGTTATAACTAAACTGGATTTTTGTTCATATATGAAGGCTAATGACTTAATTCAAGTTAACAGTGTTACATATTATTGATTTGTTAGATTGATACAAAGTATAAGTTAGATAATATCTAGTAATGAAAATCAATTAGTTAAATTGCATTTCTAATTTATCACATTGTTAAAAGGCTGGAATGAAAAAATAAATAAAGAATACTGATTTGGAATTGAGGGAGGGGTTGCAGAATTGGTAATGTTTGTCTCCTGATCAGAAAGTTTAGTGTTTCAGACATGACAGTGCCTGTCACGACTTCCACCAGAACACAAATTCAGGAAAGTAAGAGTTATGGTGTTACAAATAAAATGCATAGACAGTGTAAAAAGTGAAACTTTATGGATTATTTGACACAAATGAGTAAAATTATGCAAATTATAATACAATGTCAAAAACAGATTTTATGATTTGCTCCTTCTCATGGATGGATTCATGGCTTTGTAGGGGGTTCATCTAGACTTCTACTAGCAATACTTATAAACTTACATTAATGTCACTTTAATACTGTCATATATCCAAGATCCATGACTGCTTGTACAAAATAAAGAAATAATTTTTAATTCATTAAAATATAAATAAAGAGGTTCAGACTTCATCTCTTAGATTCTTGGTTACTATTACGAAATTAAAGAATAATTATTAATTTATGGGAAAAAATTAGTGAGGGCCTAAACCCCTCCCTTAGATCCATGTCTGCCTATACAACACTAAATAAATACCTTATCAAATGAAGTTAGAAACAGAACACACACTGTGAAAAACAGTAAGTTTAGACTTTATTTAACACGCAAATAGCCAGAGAGTTGATAGTGGGTTTTGTCAGCCATTTGCCTTCCTTTTGATTAGTTGTATTTTCATGACATTAGTCATAATTCTGATTTGTCAACTATTGGAATAATCAAAAACAGTAATAATCAGTTTTATTTAGATGTATTTCCATGAAATTAATCGATTATTGCAATAATTGAAAACAGTACTAATCAGAAACACTAACTTTGATCAATCAATTATTTATAAGTGGTGATTAACCATATATTTGATTAATCATTATCTAATGATTGAAGTTTTATTAATCAGTTACCCAAAATTAGGATTAATAGCTTCTTGTAAATAATTAATTTGCCCAGCTCTAGTTGAAAAGTATGTAAACACAAGGTTTTTTTTTTTTATGTTTAACCAATGAAATAAAATTGTTTAAAATAAAAAAAATTTAATTCAATTTAGTGAGTATGGTAGGTAACTATGCAATTTGACTCAAATCTTTATTGAATATTATTTTTATTTATCCAATTCAAAAATGTACATAAATTAATATGCTTACTGTTTACTTTATTATTATTATTTCTAATTGCAATTGTAATATTGTTTTATATAAAAACACTATTATCTATATCAGTGATAGTAAAACTTGTTATAAATTTATTTGAGTCACAAGAGATCGGTATGGGATTACTGCATATTAAAAAAAGCAAAAAAATGGTGGTATTTACTTGCTAAGTAGGAAATGTCCAGACTAACTAAAAAATTATGGAATAATATTCTTTTAGACAAAACAGTTCTTATGTGCCAATGGCAACCATCAGAAGAGTTCTATCATATGAATTCAACAGCAATTTGAAAAATACTTAAAAACAAATGTTAATGCAGTAGTCAATAGAATTATGAAGTTACCACACACCCCTTTTGATTTTTGTTTATATGGGGGTATGTACTAATTGACTCATCAAATATAGTGAATTAATGAGCCTGCTGATTAATTGGTTAACAAATATTGCTTATTGTCCAGCTATAGTGGTAATACTGTACTTTTAAATTTAGTATAATATTGCTTTTCTTGTGGGTCCATAAATGACCTTTTGATTAGCATACCCAGACTGTGAGGGTAATAGTTCAAGGTAATGTCTCATTGTCATGAACACAAACTACACTTTAGAGTCATGGATGCACTGTAAGAGTGATGTTAAATCTCACTATTTGACAAAAGAAGAGTTGCCCAAAAGTTGTCAGTAGATGCTATTGGCTAGTTGCTTTCCCAGAGTCCATCAGCTCAGAAGTTGGGATGGCTATACACAGATAGAGTATGTGTAGTTTTGCATGAAATTCTCAAACAAAACTTTGTATGGGAAGCTTAATGACAGAACTATTGTTTTTTTTTAGTTTTTGACAAACTACCAGTGTTAGAAGTAGTTCTACTTATAATAAAATTTGTTCTTTTATTGAACTATATTATTCTAATCAGCATGTATATTTTACAAAATTTAAGACAAAACTGGTATATATAGTTAAATGATCGTTTAAAGATATTTTAAGGATTATTTTATCTTTCTATAAGACTTACTAGCTGATCATCTGATCTTCAACATTACAAAATTAAATAAACTTTTTAAAGAAATTCTGTGCATATTTAAGTTGCTAAAAGAATCATAACTTGTTTCAGGTGGGTCAAAGTGTGCATTTGATGACCTTTTTGCAGATTTCCATTTAAAATTGAATTAAATAATTTATTATAAGTCAGTGTCAGTAAACTTGCTGTGAAAAATGTAGTTTATAATCATATTTCATTATTATACAAGTTTTAAGTTCTTAGCTTCAATAGGAAATGTTTACATAAATTATCAGTCTTTACTTCTCTTATCATGTGATGCTTCTTCTCTTTGAATTGTCCATTGGAGATTTTCTTTCCACCATTGTATGAACTTCTGAGTTTGTCACACCTTTATAGTATAGGTATTCCTAAACCATAATGTAAATCTATAGCCTCCAAGCTTATTGTTTTATTGATATATAAACAAGAAAGTCAAACCGTTTAAGTTGACATGCCCCTCCTGTCACATCATGTATTTCAAAAAATGTCTGTAATTTAATTCTGACTGCTATTAATTGTACACTATGTAAGCCATGTGATCATCTATTTTATTTGAGCAGAAAAAATCAATAATTTGATCGTGGAGCTTGATGAGTTTTGATTGAAGACATTGATCTGAGAAGTAATGAAATTTTTTAACCTCTTCATAGGTTAGTTAGAAAGCCAAATAAATTACATTAGTTTTTGTGTAACCTATAGTGATTGATATGGTTTTGGTTTTCTGCAGTATATGTTTGAAAGCTGCGTGAATTATTTTTTGTACAACATACATAGTAGGATGGTTAGGAAAGTAGGCATCTTAGCTGCAAACTAGCCTAAATCTGAGGAAAGTTGTAAATTTTTTGTTTTTATGTATATCTTTTATTCATTGCTATATCTTTTTTTAACAAAAGTAGTTAAGGGGAAAAAAATTAAAACCTACCATGAGAAAATGTAAATTGGGGGGGGGGGCTTTAGTAACACAAAAGGAACATACATGCTCTGTGAGGTAACCTGACATTTTGTTTAACCCAAACTCTCCACGTTCCTACTGAATGGCTTATTGTTTGTTGAAGTAATTAGGCATGGTTCAAAGAGCAATAAAACAAGATTAATTAAAAACAATTATGAAAAGTTAAGAGGACTAAAGCTCTTAAGATGAATAATTGTAATTGTCTTTTACAATCTACAGTCATTCAAAAAAAAAGTATTGTCATCTTTTGGTACAGATGATTTTACTATAGTTAATGTTAGGGTAGAGAAAATATGAGATAAAGTATGAAGTTTTACCAAAAAAAAACATGATAGCCTATTCATTTAAGTGTTAGATGTTACACAAATGAAATATGAAAATTGTAAGATGAAATGTATTTTTAGCATGAAAATCATCTTGCAATCAGACTGACTCAGTAAAGGCTTTATAAATCAAAAGACACATTTTTTAGTAGAAATACCTTGTTAAAAATATCTGATTTTTTTTGCACAACAGTCTTGTAATGTTTACTAAGAGCTTTCCCAATTTTGTTAAGATATATTTAATACATTTAGAGTTATAATATGTATAGTTTCCTGGATACATAATCGAGCCCATATACAGAGAGTTAATATTGAAAGAATGGGCTTACTTATTCTTTTGTACTTCTCAACTGAAGTTTTGATCATATAAGAAAGGTCTGCATGAATATACTGTACATCAATTAGAATTTAGAAATGCTTTTATTAAATAATCAAAATATTAGTATTTTTTGTAAATGTTTTTTTTAAGCAGTGGAAGAAAATATGCTGTAATGTCATAATAGGTACTTTTTGGGTCAAGATTAAGCCTTTTTAGTGTGAGTAAGGATACTTGCATTACTTTATCTTAATATTCTTGTACTTTCTTATAGGTGTACTTGCATATTGGTTTTGATTGACATTTTGGACTAAATATTGGTCACTGAAGGTAAGGAATGTTTACCAAGCAGTCTCCACCTCCAAGTCCACCCATTTCTCAAGACTTCAGTTCACCTCTTCCAGGACCATCTCTAAATAGAACAGAGAAAAAAAATGCCACAGCAACATTTAAAAGATCAAAATTTTTAAGACGGCTGGTTTACTTCAGACACATGGACTTTGAATTTGCATTATGGCAAATGCTATACCTTTTTATTTCTCCACAGAAAGTGTAAGTGATCACACCTCTTGTAATTTGTAAACTTTGCTCAGGTTAAACACCATTTGCAGTAAATTTTTTTTGTTTTCTCAAAAGAAGAATACTTACCAGTTACATTGTGGCTTATGGGAAAAAATATTTATGAAATGAATACTGCATGGGTTGAATATTGCAAATAAGTTTTGCTCATTGTATAACTATCATAATTAATGTATACTATGTCATGATTACTGTATGCAATCACAAGCTAGGTAAACATCAGTACTAGGGGTATGTGATTTAATCAGTTACTTATGATTGACAATTACATCAATTAGTATATCATAAACTAATAGATTAACTAAAATTATGATTAAATCTATTAATGTTAGAAAAATAATAAACTAATCAAAATTAGTGTTTTCAATTTTTACTATTTTTGGTTATTCCAACAATCAATTAAATTGATTGTTAGAAATTGTCATTTGATTACCTGTGAGTAGTGATTTTGCCAATAAGTGTCTCATAAACACATTGATTAATCAAAATTACAATTAGTCAATTAATGTCAAGAAAATAATCTACTAATTGAAATTAGTATTTCTGATTATTTATGTTTTTACTTATTCCAGCAATCGATGAATCAGAATTATGATTAAATCGATTGTCCCAAAAATAATTAACTAATCATAATTAAGGTTTTTGCTTATTGTTGTTTTCAGTTCTTTCAACCATCCAAGTAATCGAAATATTACCATTATGTTTGTTTGTTGTCAAACACAAAACTATAGGAGGGTACCTTGTTACTTGGGTATTTCTGGTGTGATTCTCATTGCCACTAAACTTGCTGGCCCTGCCTTTATTAATTCAAAGCTATTAAGGGTATCTGCCACTGTCTCTTATTTTAACCTGCTGACTACAGGGACTGGCTGCCAGCACCCACCGCTAACTCTATGATGACTTAAATGTTGAATAAAGTGTAATTTAATTTTTGTTTACATTGTGTTAGGTTTCCAATTTATAATTATGCTTCTGTATTGTAATTTTCATATAAGCAGGTACTGAGCTAGGTGTTGGGTCCAAGGTTTCAAGCCTCTCCATCCACTTTTTTTTTTCAGAAATTAATAATTGTATTAATTAATATTGTGTAAGTAGATGCAGTTCTAGGGTAGTACTAGTCACTATGAGTAAGTCTGACATTTCTCATTATAAGAGAAATATTAGATTTAAACACTACTATACAGGATATTAAATGAGTTTGTTAATATGAAGATATCTTGAGGGAAAAAGCCATTTGATTAGTAAACAAATCCAACAAGTATGCACAATGTGTTTGTCCACTGATTTAAATAAAGATTGTTTTAATTTTGTATTGCATATCATTTCTAGTCTGTTTATTTTTTTGCTTAAAATTCAGTCAGTATAGTCAAATTCACTAGTACTTTGTAATTTATCCTGCTGATGCTCTCATTATAAAGTGGACCTACCTAATACTCTTTCCAGAAATCAGTTCAGTTGATAATACCACAATAGCAGCTACTACTTTATTGGTTTTTGGTTTTACTACTGTATTATACTAATATACCTTAGACTGATTTAATTACTTTCAAATTATTTAATAGATAAATATTACGATATTAAAATATAATTTTACTAAGATTAGTGTAAGAATACATTTATTTTTGTATGTTTTAATAAGTATTTACTAATATATAGTAATAGTATGTTTAACTCTTTGCAAGCTGCTTGATCCATTAGACCAGCCTCCAGAACTGTAAAGCTATACATACTATAATTGCAATTGCTCAGTGTATTTTTTTATGATACTTGGTAATCTTTTAGTAAACATTAAAAGTCTGTTGTACACAAAAAATAATATTTTTTAATAGTCTCTTTACTAGATTTGTATATATATTTCCAAAGCCTTCACTGAGTCAGTCTGTGCCAAACGTAACTGAAAAGTAATTTTCATGCTGAATGAAAATGTAATTTTGGAATAGTTTGAAGAAGTGGAAACTTTAGAAAATGTTTATCAACTAAAATATTCCATTTTTTTACATACTTGAAGTAATATAATTAAAATATTGAACATTTTTGATGACATTTACCAAAGGTATTATTGACATTAATTTCATTTATAACAATTTAAGCATAAAACTTTTCACAAATAAAACAATTTTTGTCTATTTTATTATCTTCCTTTTAAAGTTAAAACAAGTATCTTATTTATACAGATAGATAGATTTTAATTTAATATAGAAACATTCAAGAAGATGTGTCCCTTGATGGGTCAGTGGCAAGTTTACAACTTATAACACTAAAATCTGGTATTCATTTCCCCATGGTGGACATGGCAGATCTCCCAATGTGGCTTTGCATTAAAAACAAACAAGAAGATGTTTCCATTGAAAAAAAAGTAACAAAGAGTAAAAAGTTTTGTTTACTAATTTTAACTAAAATCATAAGTATTTTTCTCTAAGGATTTCAAATTTCTGACTTGTCAGCTTTACTTAAAATTCAAAATTTAGAAAACCTTCTAAATTTTACAAAGCTCTTCATCCACAATTTGCAAATTTCTGTTACTATAGGTTTGTGAAAAGGATATATAAAAGTTTTGGCAGTATAAGAATAACTATCGACTTCATCTAGTTTGAATTATCAATGAAATTTTGAAAATTATAGATAACAAATCAAATAAATTTCCTGATTTTAATAGTGTTTACTAGTAATATAGATTTGATTGGAAATAATTATTAATTACACTATAATGAATTGTAACAGGTATATAAAGATCGTCATAGGTTTTATGCTTAAAATTAATATGTGTGATTTTTCTTTAGATACAGATGTTGTTGAGTAATTAAGAATAGGATATATATATATATATATATATATATATATACATA